TATTTCAACTAAGCATTGGAAGTTTCAAAGTCAAATATCTCGGAAACGGTGCGAGACAGCTACTTTCATAAAGTCTACCTTTTTTGTGTAAAAAAAGTTGGCAAATAAGAATTTGATACCAATTTGATACACCTTCAATCTACGGCAACTGGCGCCCTCTATGAACTACAACCAAAATGTGAACAAATTTCAATTCCTCCATCCAAAGAACTACAAACCCCAAAATTTTGTGTAGATATTTGCATTTATTAAGAAATAAATGGAAATAAAATAAAATAATATTTTACATTTAACACCGTGTATCTCTTTAACTATCAACTTTTGGACTAAAGTAAGTTCGGCTAAATCGCAATATTTTTGCTTCGGGAATCTACCCATGAATTTTGGCCCATTACCTCGGAACCACCCTGTATATTTTCTGGAGTGTTTCTATGGTTTTCATTTATATGGAAGATTTTTGCTGGATAAATGACCACTTCTTGAGAATATTAAACTGAAAACAAAATATAATGTAAGTAAAACAATAAGTAAAATAGGTTTTAAATATTAAGCTACAATCTGGATTAGTTAGAACAATCTGGATGTTTGCGTATAAAGGTTAGTCAAAGTTCAATATGATTAGTGACATTTTTCAAACTCTTTAACTTAAAGGAATATATACCGAGAGATTTAAATAATTTACACAAAGTCATATAACTTCAGTATTTATTTATAACATTATACATATTTAGGTAGCTAAAATACTGTGTCACAAATGAACCTAAACATGCCTACTGAACAACTACACATCAACGGGTGATCATATAATTAATCTGATTAGTCGAGCATTATGCAAATTCATTCTTTTAACATATTTACATCAAATATAATAAAAACACATAAAGGATTAGGAGTAACACATTTTAAAATTTAAAAGTACAACGTAAAATGTAACAATATATCGCAAAAAGAAAATATAAAACTCACACGTAATTCTATAATGTATCATGTATATTCAATTTATTTACATTTTTCGTATACAAAATCCATTACAAATATGTATTTCCACAATTTTTATCAGTGTACAACTATTTCAGAAAAATTTGTTAGCTTTGTCATTTGATAAGAAACAACAAAACATTTTCTATGTGGATCCTGTCCTCCGCAAACAATGTTGTTGTTAGCGGTTCTACTGGTGCAACAATTATTATTATTGTTAGACTCATTCATCACGTTTCTGAGGGACTGTAGTGTACACGTTTTCAGGGTCATGGGACACGCGGTGTAAACGCTACTTAAAATTGAAAGCAGGATTAAAAGTACCCTTAATAACCCATTTAATTGCGGTCATCAAGCGTGTTTTGTGCGGACGGGAACGCGTGCTACTTCCGCTTGTGATTCGATTATAATAGCGTGCTGTATTGTGTAATAACGACCATTATCTGGTCTGACAGTCGCACAATGCCAAGATTAATGACAACGTTCAACAGGTCGTGATATAGCCATCTTGATCACTATCTGGATGTTATTATATCAGTTATAGCCATAATGTACCATATATGTTAGTGTTTTATACCACGGTCGGAGATATCAGATGGATATTTCATAGAAACTTGTACGATGTTATCCCTGACTCTTTTTTACTTTTAAGTGATTTATTTCTTGTGAAAATACTGAGTGATACAAAATTTGAAAAATAAGTGAAGATTTCTTTGGACGAAAACTGATTTAGATCAAGCTACATTAGTTCAACTTGGCTTCCTTTTGTTACTGATAATGGGCTTACTTTAAATAAATTTGGTATGGGAGGGGACGGCTCAATATGAACTTATTTTTTTCGTAGAACATGTTTAACTAATCATATTAGGAAATACTAAAAGTCCGTAACATAGAAGTCACTAATACCTTGAACAATTTTCTTATTATAGACATTTCGAGAAAACGTATGCATTATTTGAATCGTCTGTTTATTCTCTGCAAAAACGTATATTCATTCGCTAAAATGCATACTTTTTGAAGAAATTGGATTTCTGTTTTTTAGTGGACTCGTCAGTTACGACCAGGTGAGTGGTTCTAATCTAACTAAACTTCACTATTATGCCAAATTTACAATTACTTAAATTAAATATTTTTTTTTCAATCAGACCCAGTCAAAATATACCTTTTTATATGTGGGGCATACATCCCTGATGTCTATAACTGTATGCACATATATTCACGACACAAAATTTAAAATTTCCACGAATTTGACGAAAAGTTATTCGAATTGAAATAAGCTGAATAAACACAGAATTTCAACTAAACACAACACAGTGCTTTCTTGCTTTTAGAAAACGACTATGTAAAAATTTACTATATTATTGTGGTCCTTCATTTTATGCAAATAATTGTCACAATTGTTACGATGCATACAACATTTTTTTGTATAATTCCACAAAAAAAATATAGTACAATTTAATAATATCCCGAATTCTACGATTTATATCTAACTTTGTGTTTGTAATAGAAAATATTCGTATGTTTGGTGGAAATATTCGCAGAACTACATATGTTTTATTTGTCTTTATAAAAATTTCATGAAAAATATTGGGACATGAGCAGTTCAAGTACTTTGTTACATCTGTGGTTTTTGCGCCTTTATTAAATTAGATTAGTCTGATTTCTGTCATATATGCACAAGTGTTGTTATTGGTATCCATCTGGGTTGCGAATAATTTTGAACAAAACAAATTACAATGATTGGATTTGTTTCAAATGCTGAAAGAGTACGGTGTTCAAATTTCATTTAGCTGCGTTGGGATATACAGGGTGTCCCACAGGGAACTGCGTCGATCAATATCTAGGAAAGTACTGCTCCGAAAAATTTGAAAATTTGGCAACATGGCAATGTCACTAGGGCGAACATAACTAAAATATCAAGAACTCTCCAGCACTTCCGGTTATACCGGAAGTCGTCACCAACTTCGTTATTTTACATGGGACACCCTATATTAATGCATTTTCGGATTCTACATGAAATTTGAGGGTCACATTTTTAAACATTCCCTATACCTAGGAGTTACAGAATTTGAGATATTAATATTTAAAGAAAAAAATTGACAGATGCAAGGGTCCACGGAGATGCTATAGTAACTCTTTTCAGGAGCCTGATATCAAGTGGATTTTTGGTACTTATAAGGAGCATAGGTAATGGTATACCAACAAATTAAAACATTTAATACTAAGGTATTTCATTTTTGCTGTTGCATTTTGATAACTTCAAACAGCCATAATTTTGTAAACTTATATGGAACACCCTGTATTTTTTTACTCTGTCGTATGTGGATTGAAATTTTCTTTCAAGCCATATAAGTATTGTTAGGGTTGCCGTTTCTACTTCTAGACATGTTTGCAATTTTCTACTTTTTGGATAGTTTTTCTCGTATCAGACCTGTTGTCAAATTGGCCATGACCAGAAACACTCCAAAAACAATTGAAATAATAGCAGCAAATTTTCCACATATTCTTGAAATTACTCATTTTCCATAAATAACAAACAAATTAAAATAATCCTCATTAGTATAATTTAAACGATCCACAGGAAATTTTATTTAAATTTTCGGCAAAAACTATTCAGGCAAAAGAATAAGGTGACAACTGACTTGACAAATGTCAAGTAATTTTAATTGTTTTTGGAGTGTTTCTGGTCATGGCCAATTTGATAACAGGTCTGATACGAGAAAAACTGTCTAAAAAATAGAGAATTGCAAATATCTCTAAAAGTAGTAACGGCCACCCTAACAATGTTTATATGGCTTGAAAGGAAATTTCAATCTGCATTCGACAGAGTAAAAAAGTTATAGCTGTTTGAAATTATCAAAATGTAACAGCAAAACTGAAACACCCACCCATTAGTTAGTTAAATCTTTTATTTTGTTGTTACACCATAATTTATTGTTACCTATGCCCTTTACAGGTAGGCACCAAAAATCCACTTGACATCTCGCTTCTGAAAAGAGTTACTAGCATTTCCGCGGACCCATGCATCTGTCAAATTTTTTCTTTAAATATTAATATCTGAAATTATATAACTCCTAGGTATAAGATATATTTAATAAAGTGACCCTCAAATTTCATGTGGAATCCGAAAATGTATATAGGGTGTCCCATTTAAAATAACAAAGTTGGTGTCGACTTCCAGTATAACCGGAAGTGCTGTAGAGTTCTAGATATTTTAGTTCCCAGGGACATTGCCATGTTGCCAAATTTTCAAATTTTTCGGAACAGTACTTTCCTAGATATCGATCGACGCAGTTCCCGGTGGGACACCCTGTATATGGTATAAAAACTCTAATTCGTTTGAATGCTTTAGAACACTATTCATTTCTTTTTCAACATTGTCCTATTTTCGTCTCCAATTTATTTGTGTCGCTTTTGAAATTTTAATTAATGTATGTGTAATAATCTATACATACTATACATTTCTTGAGTATCCCACGACAATTTCTATATGTTTGTATATACATTTAAATTATACAATTAAAACTTCTCAACAAAATTGTGCTAGCTGCAAAAGCAACAATTTTCATTCAAAATATAGGAAATTTTGTATTTTCTTTAGTATGTAACACAATTAATTGTTTGCATTTTTTAGCAAAACAGAAATACACAACACAATTGTAGTAAAGTATAACATTTCAAAAACAATAATTTCATAAAGTGACTCAATTGGTGGTTTGTCATATTTTCTGTATGAACCAATAGTGACAGGTATGTAAATTTTTAATACATATTTATTGAACGTGAACTTTATAATCATAGGTAGGTACCTGTTCCACCTAAAAGGGTGAAGTAACAAAATTCCGATTTAATGTAGTAAAATCCTGACAGCAAAATAATTTTTATTATTTTTAATGAACGATATCGTGTAGTCAGTATTAATAAAAAATCATCACAATGCAGATTGTCTTGGTAAAATGTTCTTTTTGAAGCTGCCTTAGTGCGTTTATTTTTAACCTGAATAAAAATAAAGTGATACTTACCATTCTACCCACTTGATTGTTGTGTAAATTAATTTTGGAATGAATATCCTCAGCTTTCTCTCGAGAATCCAGAAATATCTTCGAAAACTTTACACCGTAATGAAGATTGTGAGAGCATCCGCCCCATTTCCAAGAGGTTTGAAACTCCGAGCGAGACATGGAGCGAGGCTTTCTCATCTTGTACGTCTTGGAATCGCAACCGCAGTTCAGGAGGAGTCCCGAACTGCAACCTCTTGCTACCGATATAACAACCCCAGCTGAAGCTATGGCATGTGCAAATGCAGTTTCCTTGTATCCTGTAATAAGTATATTATAATAGATTGTTACAATATTAAGAAAACTATATTAAAATGGCGAATGCGCCAGTAATTTTATATAACTTGTGAATAAATAATACAGAGTGTAACAGTGACTAACTAACTATTTCTAAAATGGGTTCTAGCAAGTCTATAATCCATTTAAGATTGATAGTAAAATCTAGCATTTGACGAATTCCTATAACCTCGAGAATTTAGTAAACTGTAGTTCCCTCGCAGCAGCTAACTTTGTATAATAGGCCAATCATTATAGCTTTTTTTCGGGAAAAAAATACTATTAGAAGTTCTTCTGCGGAATATTGTTCAGAAACGTGTTATAAACAAAATATAAAAAAATCAACTCGAGACTAGTTGGGAAACTTTGTTAAAACAATGGTCAAAATTATGAAAAAGTAGTTTTTCGACTGGCGTAAAAAAACTGTTATTCATAGAGAAAAAAGGTTTATTCAAAAAAGGTAGGTATAAAATAAATCTGTAGAATAAGACAAGTCCGATTAAATTCCGATAATTTGTTTATGCGCAAGAGCTCAAAAATGGTCGAAATTGTCCGCTTTTTTCAATTGCTAATAATTAATGCAATTTTCATCTCAGATACTTGTAATTCAGGATTTTTAAAGCTTTTTGCACCCTTAATAAGTGGTAAAAATTTCAGCCCAAAAACTTCATTAGCTTGGCGCTGACGGAATTTGTTATCTAAGTAGATGCTATTTTCAATTCATTTTTCCCAAGCTCACGGGCGTTGTAGGGTTTCGATTATTAGTTGTTTTTGTACCTAAATAGTTGTATTGACATATGCATTTACTAATAATTTAATTTTTCAAATTTAATTTGTTTAAATATTACATCGTTAAGCGCGCATGCTAAGCCTCGCCTTCCCCACTCGTTCGCTAGACCAAGTAGTAGAACGCATCGCCGCTGTCTTCTTTTTCGCAATTAAATAGTTGAATTCACCTTAATGTTAATGTAGGACATGAAAATATAGCTCTTAATGTATATTCTCTCCAAATTTTAGCTCTTAATATTAATAATTAAGGTCACTGCGATTAAATAAATAAAAAAAATTATCTCAGCTTCTAAACAACTTACAACAACGATTTTTTTTTAAATTAGAAGAAAACTAAAGTAAAGAGGTTAGTATTTTATTTTATAATAATTACCTACTTACCTATCTTAACAATTTAATAAATATTAACATTTTTTCAAAGTCAATTTTAAACAAATTAAATTTGAAAAACTAAATTCTCGGTAAATGTCTATGTCAATACAACTATTTAGGTACAAAAACAACTAATGATCAAAACCCTACAACGCCTGTGAGCTTGGGAAAAATGAATTGAAAAATAGCATCTTCTTAGATAACAAATTCCGCCAACGTCAAACCAATGAAGCTTTCGAGCTGAAATTTTTACCACTTATTAAGGGTGTAAAAAGCCTCAAAAATCCTGAATTACAAGTGTCTGCGATGAAAATTGCTTTAATTATTAGCAATTGAAAAAAACGGCAATTTTCTACCATTTTTGAGCTCTTGTGCATAAACAAATTAGCGGAATTTAATAGGACTTTTTTCATTTTATAGGCTTATTTAATACCTACTTTTTTTGTATAAACTTTTTTTCGCTATGAATAATAGCTTTTTTACGTGAGTCAAAAAAACACTTTTCCATAACTTTGACCACTGTTAAAACAAAGTTTCCCAACTAGCCTCGAGTTGATTTTTTGATATTTTATTTATAGCAGGTTTCCGAACAATATTCCGCAGAGAAACTTCTAATAGTATTTTTTTCCCGAAACAGGCTCTTTCATGTCTATAATGACTGGGCTATAAAATTTGAATAGAAGGTAGCCACTGTAACCGATTGTTTACTGGGTAATAAAATAAAAGTAAATAAACAAATCAATTTCCTATATTTCTTGTAAAGAATTGCATGTTGCATGTTTAATTTCTTCACGTTTATTTGTAAAATTTTTGGAGAAGGGAAACTCGTGTAACTTGGTTTAGTTACTTATTGTCGCTATTATGAAAGTTCAATTTTTTTGTTTTCTTATGTAAATTTGAAGCAACTGTGGAAAGAAAACGTGTTCGAACAGGTGTATAATCATACATTTAAACTGTCAAGACATTACATAATAAAAACGATGTAAATTTTGTTCTTCTTTTTGTTTTAGGAGAAATATGGAAAATTGCAGCAAACAACGGGAAACGCTTAAAAAGTAGGATAATACGTAGTATAATTTAAAATATGGGAAGAATTAATGAGATGTTTGTTAACACTCAAATGTCTTACTTTGATCATTCATTAGAATATTCCAGACCTTTTTAAAAAAAAATTGTATTTTTAAACATCCTTTGGAAGAAAAATCCAACATAGTATATTTTTCAATGTTTCATTTTTAGTAACATCGTTATATTAAAACAAATCAAAATATATAAAATTTAAAATATAGTCTCATTTGAGACGATCCGAACTTTTAAATTTCACCCATGCTTCCAATCAACATGAAGTACTCAGAATAGTCATGTCTGAAACGAACAACAGAGGTCCAGGTTGGAAATTTTTATCAATGTTTCGAATCGAAAGAAACCGTCGACACCCTGTATAAATATTTAAATATATCGATTACTGCAATACATTGGTTTATACAGATGTATAATTGAAAGCATGGAAGAGCCGGAAAAGGTCTAGTAAGGGCTGAAATGCGGTTCTCAAAATATATATGTGAAGAGATTTAAAAAAGACAATATACCTATGCGTAAATTTGAAAAATGACTTATTAGAATGATTCATTAGACCCACATTTATATGTACACATTTAAAATATATCCAGTATAATTTTATTATTTTTACTAATGGTGCATATAACATTACTTAGTTATACAACAATTTGTTGAGAGCAAATACATACATGACGGCGTTCCTTTAGACACCATGAAGAAAATGAGAATTATTTAATTTTACCAAAAATTTTTGGTACCTAATGATCATACGAGACTTCAACAGTAAGACAAATGGCTAGAACTTTCCTAATTTAATAGCCTTCTTTTTTATTTTCTCGTTATAATAATACATTGTATTTGAACATACAGAGTCTGAAAATAAATAGAAAAATTGATAAAGGGAAAAATGTAAAGCCGAAACCAAAATTACATAATTTAATACACGACAGTCAAATCAAATAAGAAAATTATATACAGATGCATTTAACAAGCAAAAGTAATGCAAGCAAATACAAAATAAAATAATAAGAAAGTTTATTATAAAATAAAAATTCAAATGAAAAGCTTGATAGCTAGCGATAAATGCATTTTTGTGATTAAAAGCGGATATTAATTGGACACCCTCATTCAAAGGCGAAGAACAGCAAACGAGCTGCATTTTATAACAGACCACAAGGTTAAATTTATTTTTTACAAATATTTGAGCATAAAAAACATCACTGGACTTTTCGATAGCAGACATTTCAAAATTTCTCAACATAGCATGTAGTAACCAGAATTTTTATACCGCAAAGGTATTGTCTTCTCAAAATAAAGACAAAGCAAATTTTATTTACGATAACATAAAATAAATATAAAATAAAGGGAATTGGTAAGTTTTGTCGCTCTTAGGCAAACAGAAAACAGTTACCTAACTTGACATAATTGTAAAAACATTAAAACAAGTGTTAAAAGTAGTGAGGTTATAACCAAGGTGAAGTGAACCAAACATAAAAATAATAAACAAATAAATTTTACATGAAGGTATCCATTGCAACTCAAACGAGATAAAAATCAATTTCGAATAAATTAAGAAAGTTAGAAGAGACTTGGAAGGTTTTATCTCCAACGTTAGCTGACAATAGTCGAATTAGAATTTGAAGTTTTAAAAGCCAAGCAGCGCAACTCAAACTAGAGACTTGTAATTGAGAGTGAGATAAGAATATTTGTAAAAATTAGTATAGTCTTTTTTTAACTGGAAGTTAGAGAGTGTGGATTTTTTTCAAACATAAGATTCAATAATTTCAAAATTGTTTTCTTTAAATACAATCATAAATTATAATACAAGAAACAAAATAGTAATAATTTAAAATTAATTCAAAAAGTCAAAGTTAAATTCAACAATAGTCTATAGTTTTGTATGAGTATTCGCTTCTGAACAAGACTTTACGAGAGATATTAAGCAAAAGAATAAAGTAAGTAAGTTTATTAACATTATAAGTTTCGAAAAAATTTAATTAATATATACGTAAAAATAATAAATTATGTACTTTCCAAAACAATATATTAATCTCATTATACTAAACAGATTTAAATGATATCACATCTGCCTTTTTCCGCACGGGGAGGACCAGGGTTCATCTGTCTTCCTTCGGCATGCGTAATCTCCGAGGAAGCAAACATCCCGATCCGCTGTCGCAGATTTACGGTCGCCAACATTTCTCAATGCTGCATTTAAAGCAGTAGCCAATACCCTATATAGTACTTGTCCTCAAAATTTTTATCTCTCCTTCATACCTTGTTTGTAGCTGCCTTACGTGAGTCAGTTTAGATTTATTGTCAGTGTATGCTTAGGTTATTTGCGAGCATCGTCTATCTGCGCGCTGAATTGTCAGTTTCTTTTAAATATGTTAGCATCTCTTGACTTGTTTTGTGGTCGAAACGCCAGCTATTGAATTTAAAGAGGATCTGCATAACAGCCAGCATTAACATACGGTGAAGTATCGTGTAATGGTCTTGAATGGATGCGTTACAATAAATAAAATATCTACATGATATCGGTGCAGGTTCTTCCTCTTCTGATTCCCCTTAAAATTATTCACGTATGCATTCAGCCGGGTAAGCAATAATTCCAAGCAAATATGCAATAATTTAAATCGTATCGTGTCATCTGCAGGGAAATATAATCCAAATTAAATCGATTGTTCCACTGTACGGACGCATAAATAAGAATCTTTTTCCATTTCCAGATAGACCTGCCTAGGTGGATATTATCATAAAAACA